ACCAAAGAGACGAAGAATGAGAATTATTGAAAGTGAAAGCGAAGATTCGTTACAAGACTTGGATGAATGGCGCGATGTTACGGAAGAATTACATATTCCAGATAGAATACCTTTTAGTGTATTGACGCAGGTCATTGGACCACAAGTTCCTACGAACATTGAACGGCCGATACAATATTTTAAATTATTTTTCACGGACGAATCGGTAAATGAAATTATAAAGGAAACCAACGGTTACGCAGAAAATGTTCTAAACTTGAAAGAAATATCTAGTAACTCTATTTGGCAAAGTGAATACTGTGACACTTGTCCAAGTAAACCCAGAATGCACATGGGAGATTGCTACCAAAGATATCGCACCGTGGTGAATTACAAAATTTAAAATTTATCTTTTATTTACAATAGGAAAACGTATATTTATAAAATAAATAAAATCAAATGCATTCACAAGGACGTGTAATCTTTTCCGCTCAAAATAAGACTTCCTTTATCTCAGCCGCTCCGCTCCAAAAATGTGCCGGAGTTGCTGGTAGCCAGTATTTGAAAAACGCGCGGAGCGCTAAGGGTTAAGTTCCCGATTGTGAATCGTCGAAAAGAGGTCGTTTTACCTTTGGGTGTCCTCGTGTCAGGCAAGGTGAGCCACAGAGGGAACAAAATGGGCGCGACCAGGATGTAGGTTAGCCTCTTCCTGGGACTGCTGGGCCAGCCCATGTCCAACGCCTCCGGAGGTTCATCCTCCTCTCCCTGGAATCAGGCACGTTCGTTAGTTCCGCGATGAAATTAGCAACACGACCGTTTTCTCGGTGGTTTTCAGGCGCCCGGTAGAATCCGTCCGAGCGAGAGTACGGTCGAATGGGATTAACCGCGGGCTGGTTTTATCATCCGCGACACACTCGGCGCCGGCCGCGTATTGTTGCCAAGTAGGATACAGGCACGGCCGGCCTCGGCAAAGACACGCCTCGAAAAACCACGAGCCGCGCAAAGGCACAAAGCGAGTCCTTATTCATCCTCGGCTAACCGCGGCACAATGGCCCACGCCAGGTGTTCGGATTTTCCAGCTGGAAGTCGCGCCGCAGGCGTAATTGCTGCCAACACAAGTCCGACGAGTAATGTCGGACAAATGCGCCGATGATACCTCCTCGAAACGACTAGACACTTTTAGACGCCCTAACGAAACTCGTTCGACCATGCGTCTGATCATGCATCGATTTCTCCGCTGCTGCGACGATTTCGGTCGACGCGCTGCCGTTTCTGATACAATAATCGTCGTTGCACGCTGTCTGCTTCTAATCGAGGTTTCAAGTCGAAGAGAGCGATTCCTTCTGAATGGCTCTATACGTTTATACAAATGCGAATTCATTATTCGAAGCTCATTTCATATCGTTTAGTAGAGCCGATGGGTACAGAATACTCAATCATCGATGCAGTATCGGAAAACGATCGTAAAGGCTATGCTTTTCCGTTTTCGTTCGGAAATTTCAATTTTATGGTCCCAAACTAGGCGCCACGGAGTACTTCAGCAAATATTTGCAGATTTTTCTGCGTACCCTAATTGCGCGCAAACTGTGCCAAACCAGGAGGACCAACTATCTCGCAGCGCATCGATTTTCACCTCTGTGTCGTACAATAAATTGCAAACACCGAACCCTCGGAATTTCTTTATATCGAATTGAAATTATACAGTTTTAAATCGTGCAGTTGGAAGTAATAACAATAATAATGAACTTTATTCCTTACGGATTACAAGCGATAGAGGAAATAAAGCGAGAAAATAAAATATAAGATGGAACAAGAAAGTAAACTAAACTGAAATAAGCTAAAATCGAATAGACGCGCAGGTCGGAAGTGCAGTAATGTCTCTCTAATTGGCGCCCAGATTGACCACAAAAATGGACAATTTGGGAAGAGGAGATACGATTATTCGAGCCTTACGGTTTATTTTTATAGTTATAAATTGTCCGCAATTATAAAAACGAGCCGCAAGGCTCGAATAATCGTATCTCCTCTTCCCAAATTATCCATTTTAGTGGACAATCTGTGCGTCAGTGAGGGAGACATTGCTGTATATCGGCAAATCTTTCCAGAATTTTTTGGTTGTTCCAGGGGTGCGAGAACTCTGTCGGACCAGAAGAAACCAGAGTGCTCGTTCCAGATTGCTGGGCATTCTTCGACGCGAGTCGCTGCAGGAATAACAAGGGCGACATATTGGGCATCGGCTCGAGCGCGGCGACGGACGAAGGACGCGAAGATCAAGATCGCGGATCAAGAGCACGTGACCTTGGTGCTGGGGGTACGCAGAAGTAGGAAGCGTGTTTTCGAACGCGGAACCGGGGAAGCGTATCGGCTGGCGACTTTGCTTCGATTATCCGAGGCGGCGCGGCGGCGTTGGAGGCGGGATTGAAATAGTGAATGCGCGCGGTGCACGTCGGGTGTAGCCAGAATTGACCCAGATTCGCGGCGCATTCAAAATGAAAAGGCCTTCTCTCACTCATTTAGGACAAAGCGAGGTTCGAGAATCCCTCGCGATCCGCGCGGCGGCCGCGTTTTAAGCAGCGACGCCGGCTAATATCGGCCCGGAAAAATGCCGAGGCTAATTCCGCCGCTTCCGAGGACCCGTCCGACGTCACGCGGACGTCCGTCGTCCTCCTCGACACCGTCGACGTCGATACAGTGCCGTGTCTTATCGTCGGAATTCCATAAAATCATCGGATTCCTGCGAGTCGCTTCGACAATCGCGGCTTTCGCTCGGCCGTCACTGGGATCGATCGGAGACAATAGTTGGGAAAAGTAGTTCGGAACGATGACGCTGAGACATCGTGTATCGAAAGAATTACGGTTTACCGATGCAGGGGTTACCAGTGAAAGATGTTAGGGAGAAAGCTGCGACGAATGGAAAGCGAAAGTCCTTTAGGGAAGAGGGATGAAGCCACTCTTCCCGATTGCCTTGTTTCCAGCCCCGACATCTTCGCCGCTGGAAAACGACCCAATTTCCGAACGTCCTGCTATTATGGAGCACAATGCGGCTTGTCTCGTCGAACGGACAAGGGATGTTCGCTCGGCGATCGCTGCGTTGGCACCCAAAAGATCTCCCGGCATCTGCGTTCGATGCGAGCAACGCGAGCTCTGGCAAACTCTAGTTAGATATTATAATTTCTTTCGGTTGGAAAGAAATTTCGCTAGTCTTTCTTCGAATCACAATATTTGTTGATCACTTTATACGATTCAGAGCTATAGCGAAGGATCTGTTTTGTTCACTCTGGAAAAATCCAATGGAAACCACAGTGCACAGTAGAATCACGCTTATTCTAATCGAAGGAAGATTTGAATAACAGAACCTAATTTGTACAACGAGTTGTTATACAAGCACATGCGATACGTGTGCACGAAAACGTTTTTGAACACGGATACGATGTTTGCTTGCGTTTCTGTATTTTACAAATTTGCGGACGCCGAAGGCGCATAGAAATCTGCGGTGCACGGACGAACCGAGTTCACGATTTAATTTACCGATTACATTGTCCTGAGAATCGTGGGCTGCACAAAGGACACGATCCGGGGAATATCTTCAGCATTGTGGCATCCAGACGATCTGTTCGTTAACGTGTTCACTGCGAAAGATCCACCGGAAATATTCGCAGAAAATATCTAAGCGCATAATTTAATCAGTGAAACTGAAGCTGGTAAAAATTGTAACGTCGGTGGAGACGGTACAGTAATGTCTCTCTAATTGACGCTCAGATTGTTCACAAAAATGGACAATTTGGGAAGAGGAGATGCGATTACTCGAGCCTTGCGGTTCGTTTTCATAGTTTTCATTAGTTAGTTGTCAAGAAATATAGACACGAGCTGCAAGGCTCGAATAATCGTATCTACTCTTCCCAAATTGTCCATTTTTGTGCGCAATCTGAGCGTCAGTTAGGGAGACATTACTGTACATTGATTCTTTTACAGAGAAAATTCAGTGACATTCTGTTATAGCTTTTGAACCATCAAAGATATTACAACGAAATTTTCACCAATAATATTCAAAAAATAGTTATTTTCAACTACAGATAATTAAATATTTCTTGCATTTGTTAAACAATAATTTTTAATTAATTTTCATTGACATTTTTTGTGAACAAAATTGTTTAAATATAATGTTGCAAACTATTTTTATATTTTCAATTTGCAATCTGGTTCGTCTTGGTATGTAACTTTTACAGAGATATGTAGAGAAAAGTATCCTGAAAATATATACCGTTTGTCCGAAACTGTGATTCCTCGAGTGNCATCTCTCTGACAACTTGAAAACTGTCGCAATCTGGTTCGTCTTGGTATGTAACTTTTACAGAGATATGTAGAGGAAAGTATCCTGAAAATATACCGTTTGTCCGAAACTGTGATTCCTCGAGTGTCAAAAGATATTCCTTGTCAAATGTAGAGAATTTTTACACTTTTTGTATTTTATTAAACATTACATTTTTCATTTATAGTCTGCAATAATCTTAATTTAAGTTACTGTTTTCTAACGAGAAATATTGCCTCCTAATGTTAAAAAAAGAAAGCAAAGGAAAACATTAATTAGGTTCGTCACAGGACATTGCGAGGAAAAGAAGCATATTTTTTGGCGTCAAATGTAGTGTTCAAAATGTTGAACTTTAAATTGTCGTATTAATATTTCCACTTTCGAGTGTAATGGACATTTAACAAGCAATACAAATTTACTGGACATTAATATGGGAAAATCAGGTTTTTGTCGAAAAGTCACTAAAATATTCGATCCGGCCCACTGTGCGCCGGTAAAATTTAATTCGGTTCAATGTATTCGAATAAAAATGAATGTCAAGAAATCTAATTAATACTTAGCGTCGCTGATCTGTGACCGGCGCGGTAATCGACGCGTTAAGCGAAAGATCGCGCGAAAAAAGAAGAACGAGGGGTCATCTGTCAGGACTCGACGATCCGTAAAATAAGGAGTTGCTCGGCCGGTTTCTCGTATCGGCGCGATACGTCCAGAGGTATCATCAAATATCTATCTCCGTTCGCGGGCAGACGGACGGAATTTCAGATAGGACACGTCCCGCATGCCGGGGAAACTGCGATATGGCTCGTTACATTTTCACGTTGAGCGACAACCGGTCGACCCCGACGAGTCCCGGACTCGATCCCTCGGGGACAGCCCGGCAAGAACCATTTACGGAGACCGGCTGGCTCCGTGTTTTCGATGAAAAATCTATCGATCCGGGGCCCCAAGGATAATAGTTGCCAGTCGCCGGTCGTCACGCACGCCCACCGACGCTGGAATCCAATAGAATTTTCTTTGCCCCGCGATCGAACGATTCCCCGACGTCTTCCTGCCGCCGGAAATCCGCTGATGCCAGGAACAATGGCGCGCTGCGCCGTGGATCGAAGGATTTAGTGACATTTTGCCGGAGCTTTTGAACCGTGAAAGAAAGAATGACACCGGGGCCTGTATCTAATCTCGCGGCGGTGCCCTTTTTGCCAAGTTCCCTTCGCGAACGGGATTTCGGTTTTTAGCAACAGTTATTTTAGCGCGGCCGGCCAGCTTTCGTGTACGGCTAGTCTGCACGTGACTTCACAAAATCGTGGAGCTTCGGGCAAATCGGAGACCTAACACGGCCTTCGTGGACAATGATATACACCGCCGGCCATAAGTATGTGGACTTCTACATAAGCATGTGGCTTCTTTGATTAACCGGTTAGCTGTGTCTGACGAGTATACTCGTCATGGAGAAATGGCA